ATGTAAAGTATAGTAACCCAAATTAAATGAGAAATCTGATTGTGCTTGTAAATTTGCCATTTAATTGGGTGCCAGTGAAAGTTAAATCTATGCACAACCAAAAATTTGGCAAACATTCTGTGGAAGTGAAACTTTTTTACATCAATAAAATCTACTTATTCATCAAATTTCAATTGTGGGCCGATTGCGAAAGTCTTCCACTCCCACGCTTTGGTGATAAATAAATACTTGTGATCTTAATAAGTTTGCTAACCAAATGGGGAGTTTTTGATCTCAAAAAGTTTATGTTCCAAATATGGTTATCAAGATGGGTTTACCCTTTTTGGGAAACAACTTATAGAGATGAAAAGCATTTATTTAATAGCAAAAGGTTATTCATTTAATGAGCTGACTAATAGGAAGGGCTTCATTATTTATTTAAGATTTAATACAAATCTAATATTATATTTTCTTTTTGTCTTATAAATAAACTGTTTCCTTTCACGCTTAATCAGTCTTTTTACTCACAAATTAAACTAAAGTTAAGAAAGTTATTGTTGTAAGTATTAGATATACCTTTTCCCACCTCATAAAGATATACACTGGGTAACATATATTGTCTAGATCTGATAGTTGATTTCCATTTTTGTTTGCCAGACATTGTTGCTTTGTTTTAAAATAGAAACTTCGAATGTATTAGCATGTCTGCGGATTTGTTATTTTGTTGCTGGCTAGCCGGTTGTTGTTAATCGAATGTGTTGTGTGTCGCCTGGTCCACCTACCAACCCCTTCCCCTTCCCTCCTAAGTTCCGCCCCCGTAACGACAGCACCCCCGCTGCGCACTTTTAAGCCAACAGCTAACAGCGAACAGCCAACAGCCAACAGCCGACAGCCGACGACGGCAACAATTGAGACAACTTATCATGAAGTGCTAATTAACATTGTCTGGCCGGGGTCTCTCACGTATGCCAATGTCTGGCGACCTACCTGCGGTTACTAGGAGCACCACCACCACCACCCACCCGTTTGCACCCCAGCTCTCCCCACCGTGCACCACCACCCAGCAGCACCGTCACCGGCACCTCTAACCCACCCAAAAACAGAACGGAAAAAAAATAAATATAAACCGCAATTCACCCAAAACTGGCACTTGGTCGCGTCTCTCGTCTGTGTTTGCTTATTTTGGCATACAAAGAAGTACATTTTTTTTTACCATGAATATTCCCAAAAGTTGGGGAAAAATACAAAATAAAAAAAAGGGGAAAAATAATAATAATTGTGTACACACACGACGAGACGGAACATTTTTGTTTATGTTGATAATCTAATATGTGCTGACGTATCTCCTCTATTTTTCTTTATTTATCTTTTTACTTTTTTTTATGTGGGTCTGCAGGTTGAGTGCGGTGGCAATTTGTTTTGTCTTTTTGGCGGCGGCTGCTTTGAGCCACCTGGCCGGGGGATCGATTGATCGTATTGGATCGATCGGATATATATATATTGGATATATCAGTTCGATTCGATCAAGTGATCGTGCCAAGGCTGTGAGCTGTCTGTCTGCATTTATAAATAAATTGTGGCAATTAAATAAATAAAATAGTTGCATATGCATGCATTTTTAATTGTCAGCCGGTTCGACGGTGCACGTGTCGTATACGTAATATGTTCTAGAGTCTAGTATCACCCTTTAAACCGTTACCTCATCTGGAAATGGCAAGCGATTAAACTTTAAACCAAGGGGAATCGGCCAGTAAGAGTTCTTGATTTTGTAAGCAATGTGATACCGAATACTGTTGATTATTGTTTATTAATTTTATAATTAGAAATTATATACGAGTATATCCTTAGGGAAACCATTTATATTGATTTTCTATTGAAAAATTTCACTTTAAATGAATTTTAAATATTTTTATAAGTAGAATAAATGTTTTCTTTATTACTCTCAGTGCACAAAGACTTTTCTCTGGTAATAATACAACTTTCAACCATATTTTGTATTTATTTCTTTGATCCACTTTGCAGTTTTAATGAAATTTCTTAACTTTTATTGAAATCAATTTCCATTTTGAATATTATTTGATGTTTTTATTTCATTAAGTTTTTGTATATATTTTTATAATATTTATTTCTTTAATTTTTTTTTAAACATATATATTTTTTAAATATATATTTTACATTTTTCTTAGACTTTTTTGATACTTAGTCATCAAGACCAAGACTACTGAGTTACCTAATGTTAAAGTTTTACACCATTTTTTTGTTTAAACATATTAATTGTTTTTTTTTGTATAAATTATTTTATAATTAAGATAAGATCTTAAAATAAAACTTTAGAATTTCTTAGAATTTTTTGGAAAACTTACTACATAATAACTTTTTCACATCATAGAAAGAACTCTTCTATGTTATCTTTCATAACATTCACTTCACCTGACCACCCACCTGACCGCCTGCAGACTCTTTAATCACTGCTAGCCCTCGCTGCTTATCAATTTGGCCAACTAATAGGAAACTAAGAGATGCAACCTGGTCTCCTCGGCCTTTATATAGGGTAACGCCCACTTATGTGCATTAATCTGCATCCTAGAGTGTGTTAGTCATTAACTATTGGCTATTGTTGTAATGGCTGATGCAAAAAGAGTACTTTTGAGTCATTGTTGGCAGAGCGAGAAACCAACCTATGTATTCCGATTCCCATTGCGATCTTCCTCTGCCTTTTTGGCTGGCTGTGATTGTGATAAGCAGACTGTGGCGAGACAACAAAAGACATCGCAGACAAGTTTGCACTTACTTAACTTGCAGTACGTTGTACCGATGTTGTGATGTGATGCGATGCTGCTGCTTTTGATATTTTTAGACACCGCCAGTCAGCCTGCCGCGGCAAGTATATGTATGAAAGAAAAAAAAGTCAGAGGCAAAGGCAAATGGCGTTGGCACATCTCACACACAAATCGCAACGCCTCACATGCTGGCCAGACAATGAGTCTAGTCGGGCAACGGTTCAGATTCAGATACAGATACTGGTGCTGGTGGTGGTACTGATACAGATACAGATACAGATACAGATGCATATGCTGATTGCGAAACACACGAGTCTTCACCCAGTTCATTCAAAATTTGCCACAGTTGATGATGCATCGATGGGTTAAGCACACGCAGAAAAAATAGAGGTGACAAAATGTGTTCAAGTTTCTGAAGAAATTTCTCAGAGAAATACAAAAAAAAAATTAAAACGGATTTATTAAAAATGTATGTTTTTATTAACATTTTTTACTCAAATAACGTTTCTTATAAGCCATAAAAAAGTTTAGGAATTCCTTTGAAAACGTGTCCGATATATTGTCCTTTTCACATTTTTAATGGTAATATAGAAACGTGGATTTGTAAACTAAAAATATATATTTATATCTGTATGGGGAGGGGATACTTTGAAAAGTTTAAAATTTATTTTGAAAAATAAAAAAAGATTTTTGATTTTATATAGTTTTTTCCTTACTTTTGGCCCTCAGAAGTTTATGCCAAAAATATGTAAAATTTGTTACCTTTTTTTAATTTTTGTTCTTGGGCTTATTGTTACCTCTACCTGGGCATACTTATGGCTAAATTGTTATCTTAATAACACAGGATATAAAAGATAACAAAATTTGATTCGCTCCGTGCATAAGCTTCGATTTATCATAGATATGCAACAGGTACAACCGCATTGAATGGCACCCCAAAGATTCCTCTGCGCTAATGAATTTCCTGAAGCCTTTCTCCGTCTCCCCACAAAAGTCTGGCAGTCGGCTCATTAAGTCCTCCATTGACTGGCTAAAGATGGAACAATGGCCAATACAAAGACCCCGGGCCCGAATCATAACTCATTGAACTTTTGCCGGCAGCGGCAGTGGCAGCAGCCGTTGAAACATAAAAAGTGTCAATCAGTGACTCTGCTGTGGCAACGATAGCGACGCCTCCAAAGTCCCATTACAATGCCATTTTTATGGACACCGCTGGCGGGGATGTTGCTGCAGCAGCAGCAGCAGCAGCAGCTCTAGCTGGTGGGAAAAGAGAAGGAGAAGCTGGAGCAGCACCACCAGCAGCCACAGCAGACGGCAGGGTCGTAAATGTAGTAATAATAGTCGCCGAGGGCCAACGCCAACGTTTGCTAGTTGCGGTCGAGATTTTCTAGGGGTGGGCTGGCGCATCAAGCACTGAGCGAAAAAAAAGGTAAACTAAAGAGTGGTTTTTCAAGGTTATTAAGTTTTATCGTTCACAAATGTATAGTAAATATGAATATCCCTTAAAAATAAATCATCTCCCTCTCTAAAATGCTTTAAAAAAGGGTTTTGGAACATTTTTTATGTTTGTAAGTTTAAATTTTTACTAAAATATATATAAATTTACCTTATATAGCTATTTATTGCATTTATGTTGAAGATTTATCTGTAAGACTCAAAATTTCTTACAAAAGTTTTAAATATTGCGTATACGCCTAGTGTTACAGGTTATTAGGTTTTATATTTTTTTCCCTGAGAATTTAAAGACTTTCTTTTCAGTGCATTGAACGTTTACTTGGCCATTGGCTGGTGTCGAAAAGCAAGACATAAATGTCTAACATATGCTGGGGATGGCCTTTGGAGTTGCCCGGCGAGGCGACAGGTCTATTACCAAAAGCCTGCTTATGACGGGTTATGGCACGCCTTTCGTACCACAGACCACGATCTCTGGGAACACTTGACGGATATGGATATCCTTCAGTTAGATGGCTATATGACTATATGATTGATAAAAGGAACTTATATACTCACATTAATAGTATAAGCTTCTGAACTTGGAGGTTCTGATAAGGCAAAACTCTTTTAATACCATTGTAAAGCCTTTTTGAAAGAGAAATTTGTTTGTTTCTAAAAATTTTTAACTTGTAATTTCCCAAATTTACTTATCAACTTCTCTAAGATGAGAAACAATCATTATCTGACATTTTCCCTAATATTTTATTACCAGTTTTTATATTAACTTTTCAATGATCAAAAAAATAATCACAAAAGATCCTCCACAAATTGGAAACTAATATTGGTGGCAAACTGTGGTTTCCCATAGAATATCCAATCTATAGCCAAGAGGAAATCACCAGTGGGCAGTGGTAGTCGCATGACATCGGTGGTTAAATACATATCCTTTATAAAGATGTCACCCTTAGAAAGGATTTTTGAGTTACTAAACGATAACTTCCAGGATTTCGAATCTGAAAACTCACATACAACGGGCAGGTGTGATTGATGTTTGAGAAGTCCTTATAGATGCTAAAAAGTAAAATTGCAATGGCATCGTAAGGCTTTCGCAGATACCGACAGCCATCGATCCGGATATTAACCAGCCAAGGCTTATAGCCATTTTCCCTTTTAAACAATTGGTAGTGAACAATAATGTTCCTCGTGGGATGAAGAAAGGTTGCATTGAAGTTGAACACAGTCTTGTGGCGACTGATCGCCTTCAAGCGGCAATGATTGATCCTAATCCAGGTCTTGTTGTAACTACCGCAAATGGCATTTGTTAGTTTGAAAACCACCGAGTTCTGATTTAGATATATTAAGTTAGTAATTAGATAAAATATTTTAAAATCACAACCTACAGTTTGTTTAAAGTTTAATATATAGAATATGGCCAAAAGAGTGACCATCCTAAGAGCCGACTTCATGATCACAAAACTTTATGAAAACTACTGAGTTTCGGCCACCCATGTATATGATCTATTTATAGTTTTGTAGTTTAGCCAATGATTGATTTTTAATTTCTCTCTCAATTAGTTTTCAATTACCTCTGATTAGCAGTAATGATTTTTTAATATTTAGGAAAATTTTTGTACCAGAAAGCAACCTTTGGCTGGGACTTAGAAACGGCAGATTAGTTTGCGAATTTGAAATTATTGTAATGGTGATGGCAATGTGTTCCACGCATGTTCATTTTCACTTTGACGGGGCTTTTAATTCTACAATATATTAATATTAATCAAAACCCAAAAAAACTGAAAACTCATAGAAAACTATGAATTTCTCAAAACTTCAACATTTAACATAACAAATAATGAAACGCTTTACTCGAGCTATTGTTTACTTTTTAATAAAAATAAACAAGAAAAGTCAAAACATTGATTACAGCAGATCCTCGACATATTGAAAACTAACATTGGTTGTAAATTGCGGGTTTCGATAAAAAGTCCAAGTCATGGCCAGTAAATAGTCGCCAGTGGGAAATGGAAGTTGCCTCAGTTCTTCGATTTTGAGATACATATTCCTAATAAGTATTTCACCCTTACAAAAAGAGATAACGTTATCCAGATCCTGAAACTCTTTACGATGTTTATGACTTACATGCAGTGGGCAAGTGTGGTTAATGTTAGAAAAGTCCCTGTAAAATCTATAAATCATAACGCCGATGACATCATAGGGCTTACTTAAGAACCGACAACCATCGATTTTCATATTCAAAAGAAAGGGCTTATAGCCATTTTCCCTCTTAAAGAGTTGATACCTCACCACGATATCGCTGGTTGGATGTATAAATGTAGCATTGAAGTTGAAAAATATCTTGTTGCGACCAACAGCCTTCAATCGGCATTGATTGATCAGCACCCAAGACTTATTGTAGCTGCCGCAAACCACATTTGTCATTTTGAAAATGATACTTTCCTGGGAATGAAATTTAGGTAACTTTTTTGCTTTAAAATGTTTGAAAAATCCAACTCACACTTGTATAAAAAGTGAATATAAGTGTTAAAATGGCAACTTTTAAACAGCTCCACATAATGTTTGAACTTTGATTAAGCAAAATTACATTTATGTGGCAACATTTATAGGGCAAACATAAAATTTGTAATTAATTTGCCTTGTAATTTTACGCATGTTTGAGCCTTGCTATATTGTTAATTATTATTGTTGCGGTGATGAAAATTAAAAATAAATTAAATGTTTTTTACTTTCAGCAAATGTGATTTTAATTGATACTTTGGATCTGAGATCTGAAATGTATTTTTATGTTACTTACTTTATAAGTACTTCTACATTCTTCTTGAAGAATCTTAAGTTTATAAATTAACTTCTCATTATAAACTCTTAATTTGTAATACTTATAGTCTGATTATCTACCTCCCTCACCCTCTTAGTAATCTTTTATTAATTTCACTTTCAAATAGATTTAAATCACCTCAGGTGTGCAGGGTATAAAAATATTCCTGAAAATTCCCATACTTAAATTATAAAAGCAGAAATGCTAGAGCTGGAATATATGCTGTAAAGATAAATTATTAAATTTTAATAACTTCTAATAGATGAAAATACTCGACACAACTTAAATTTCAAATTTACTAACAACATTTTATTTTTAAATATAACAAAAACTTAGCTACATATCATTTATGAACACCTACATTATCACAACTTAAAAACATTTAACAACGCTTAATATTATTATTGACTAAAGCAGATCCTCGACATATTGAAAGCTTACATTGGTGGCAAATTGTGGTCTTCTAAAGAAACTCCAAGTCATGGCCATTAAATAATCGCCAGTGGGCCAGGGAAGTCGTCTTAGTTCTTCTATTTTCAGATACATGTTCTTTAAGATAATATCACCCTTACCAAAAGGACCATATCATTAATATTTATAAGGAAGTTGAAGAGGAATCTAAACAACTTACATACAGCGGGCAAGAGTGGTTGACGTTAGAAAAGTCCCTGTAAAATCTGTACACCATAACGCCGATGACATCGTAGGGTTTACTTAAGAACCGACAACAATCGATTTCCACCTTCAGAAGGAAAGGCTTATAGCCATTTTCCCTCTTAAAAAGTTGATACCTCACCACGATATCGTTGGTTGGATGTATAAAGGTAGCATTGAAGTTGAAAAATATCTTGTTGCGACCCACAGCCTTCAATCGGCATTGATTGATCCGCACCCAAGACTTATTGTAGCTGCCGCACACCACATTCGTCATTTTGAAAATTACACTCTCCTGGAAAATCATTTTTAATCACTTTTTTGCCTTAAAATGTTTTAGAAAACCAACTCACACTTATATAAAAAGTGATTAAAAGTGTTAGGAAACCAACTCTGATACAGTTCCCCATAATGCTTGAACTTCGAATAATCGGAATAGAAATTTATGGACAATATTTATAATTTTAATGGTCATTTGACGCATGTTTAAGCTTTTTATAAATTTTAATTTATATTTTATCGGTAATAAAAATTAAAAATAAATTAAAAGTTTTGAAATTTTTCAAGAAATGACAATTTAATTTATATTTTGTTCAGTGAAATCGAAAATTAATTATAAGGATTTTTATTTGTTAACAGAATTGATATTTTTTGGATATTTTTGTGCATATTTTTTCTTTTTAATGTCGTTTAGGGACTTTAGACCCATTAGACATATTATTCTTATAAAACTATAGCATATAGTTCAAGGATTAACAAACTTTATAAGCTTGATTAAGGGAGGCTCCATGGCCTAATGTTGCTAACCTTTAAACTGTATATTATAGCATCATAAACTTAATATGACAGATTTTCACCATTTTATTTTATATCACAACAAACATAATATTTAGCCAAAAGAAAACGGGTATTTCCCTTTATTTAATGAATATATTAATCAATTTATTTTCGATTACAATAAATCCTCAACAAATTGGAAACTAACATTTGTGTCAAACTGCGGTTTGCCAAAGAACTTCCATCTTAAGGAGAATAAATACTCGCCGGTGGGCCAAGGCAGACCCTTAAAAGGCTCCGTTGTAAGATACATGTTCTTAACAATAAGTTCATCCTTTAAATTCATTCAAATAATTAAATAAACAACAATAAGAAATAATAAAAACTTACATAGAGCGGACACGTGTGATTGGCATTTGTAAAGTTTCTGAAAAAATTATAAACCATTATGCCCACGGCATTATAGGGTTTCTTCAAGAACCTGCAGCTATCAATCTCGACATTGATGAGCCAGGGCTTGTAGCCGTTTTCCTTTTTAAAGAATCTGTAAGTCACTTTGATGTCAGGCGTGGGGTAGAATAAGGTGGCATTAAAATTAAAAACCACTTTGAAACGATTGATAGCCTTCAAGCGACACGTATTTATCCGCACCCACGATTTGTTATGACTTAAGCACTCGACATTTGTCATTTTGAAAATGACGGAGTCCTAAGTATGATTATTGATTCAAAATGATTTGGTTCTAGAAAAACAAGGATACTTACACTTATTTTTAAGTTTAATAAAAAGCTTAGAAAAGCAGCTAGTATTAGAGTGTTCCGCATGACTTTAGCAGAGGTTTTAAACTGCGAAATGAACTTCAAAGCCTAACCAATATTTATAGCTTTGTTTTAATTGGCTTTTCGATTAAACAAACATAATTGCTGTCTTTAAAATTTGTGAATATTTTTTTTGTGCTTCAAATTAAAGTTAATTGAAAAAACAAAGATGTGAAGATTAAAGTTCAATGGTAAACATAATTATGAAACATCATAAAAGTGTTATTAAAAAACATGGAAAAATATTAAACGGAAAAGCAATTATGGATAAAATATAAAGACGGAAAATACTAGATAATATTTTCCACAAATTGGTAGCTAACATTGGTCACAAACTGAACCTTCAGATGTAATAGCCAAATTATTTGCAGCATATAGTCGCCGGTGGGGTATGGAAGGGTAAACTTAGTGGTGAGATGCATGCCCCTGATCAACAGATCTCCCTTTAATAAGATAAAAAGGAAATCAAATTAAGAATATTAGCTAATAAAATACTTACATAAAGTGGGCAAGTATGATTGATATTGAAAACATCCTTGTAAATATTATATAAAAATCGATATAAAAATTATATAGAAATCGACAGCCATCGATCTTTTTCCGGTAATGGCTTAAAGCCATTTGCCCTTGTCGATAGTCCATTAGAATATCGTTGGTCGGCTGATGCAGGGTTGCATTAAAGTTGAAAATCGTTTTATCACGACTAATGGCCTTCTAGCAACACTCGTTGATCCTAACCCAAGATTGGTTTAGACTTTCACATTTGACATTAGTCAGTTTATAGGCCACACAGTCCGTGTAATTGGGTTTTACTTGATTGATTTTTAAGTTTTGTTTAGTAATTAAACTTACACTTGATTGTCGTGTGTGAAAAATAATGTTAGGAAACTGATTAATTGCAAAGCTTTTCTCAGGATTTTCAACTTTGAATGAATTATAATGAATGGTTTTCTCTTATAAAAACCCTGCAGGTAGGACATGTGCGCAAAATTAAATTTAATTACCTTTTAAATTATTTTTTAAAAGGTTAATTTTTTTTTATAAAACTTTTCGCTTTATGGAACAATTTATGTTGAAAGGAATCTTTTTTGGGCCAATTATTAAGCTTTCTGAATATTATTTCTGTGCTTCAAATTAAATTTAATTGAAAAACCAGGATGTAATGATTCAAGTGAAGTGAAAAACATCAAACGGAAAATCAATATTGGTTAAAATGATAAAGAACAGTAAGTATAGGTTTAGCCTTAACCATTTTTACAGTGAGATAAAATACTAAATAATATTTTCCACAAATTCATAGCTAATATTGGTCACAAACTGAACCTTCCGATAGAATAACCAATTTATTTGCAGCATATAGTCGCCGCTGGGGTAGGGAAGAGTAAGCTTGGTGGTAAGATGCATGCCCCTGACCAACAGATCTCCCTTTAATCAGATAAAAAGGAAATCAAAACAAGAAAATCAACATATAAGGTACTTACAGAATATGGACAAGTGTGATTGATATTCGAGAAGGGCCTATAGATATTGAAAAATAGTATGGTCAAGGCATCGTAGGGTTTTCTCATGAATTTGCAGCCATCGATTTTTTTCTTATACAACCATGGCTTATAGCCACTTGCCCTTTTCAGCAGTTGCCAGTCCATGACAATATCTTTGGTCGGCTGATGCAGGGATGCATTGAAATTGAAAATCGTTTTATCACGACTAATGGCTTTCAAGCGACACTCATTGATCGTAACCCAAGATTGGTTTAGACTTTCACATTTCACATTAGTTAGTTTATAGGTCACACAGTCCTATTAATTGGTTGTTAATTGATTGATTTTAAAGTTATGTTGACTAACTAGACTTACACTTGATCGCCATGCGAAAAAGAATGATAGTAAACCGATTATTTGCAACGCTTTCCTCATGACTTTTCAGAATGTTAGTAAACCGATTATTTGCAACGCTTTCCTCATGACTTTTCAGATTTGAATGAATAATAATGAATGGTTTTGCTCATAAAACCCTGCAGATAGGACATGTGCCCAAAATTACATTTAATTACATTTTAAAATTATTTTTTAATAGGCTAAGTTTGTTTTTGTTTAAAACTCTTGGACTGTTGGAACAATTTATGGTTAATGGTGGGTTAACCATTATTGAAATGGAAAATAATTAATAACCGTTTTGAGGGGTAACGGCAGAACAAAATTAATTCGTTGTGGGTTTTTAGAAATATAGGCATTGGATATTATAAATATATAGAAAGTATATATATATATATTAATAATAATAAAACTAATTTGATGTATATAGAACCATTCAAAAGCCTTAAAAGGCTCACTTATTACCTCAAAAGTGTTGCCTTAATTTTATAAATCCAATCATTTAAGTAAAGAAGTTTTCCTATCGGACTTAAGTTAATAAAAACTCGAGTTAAAAGTCTGAAATTAAAAACCCAAAAAAGAGGAGAATCGCCTTTATTGCTACAATAAAATCCAGATGCTTCCAGTCAGCGGACACAAAGAGGTGCTGAAAGTCAAAGGAGTTGTATGCCACATGCTCATTATACAAATTGCACAAGGAGACGAAAGATCCTGCCACAAACGGCAACGGCAAACAGAGAACAAGAACGAGAACGAGAACGCTAAGAAGTCAGTTCGCCTGGACAACACCTTGGGAAGCCGCAAAGAGGAGACATTGATGGAATGACTGACAGACTTGGCAAGTCCTACGAAAAGTCGCACTCGATTCAAATTCAAATTCAAATTCAAATGAACCCCCGGAGTCCGGGGACTCCAAGAGAAAAGAATCTATTAAGATATTATCCGAAGGGGTGAATCAGTGCACTGAATCCATGCAATTGTTGCAGACAATTTGGGTCGGGCTGTTTTTTAGCCGGCGAGGAGGCAGCCCACAATTGCGGCAGCCATTAGTGCGGATCGAGGGGCACGAACAGCGGTCGTCTGGCTTTCTGGATCTCTGAATCTCAGTCTCTGTCTCAGGATGGGAGAATGATTGGAGAGAGTTGAGTATATGAGGATGCCGCTGAGTAGGGTAGTCGATGCCAAAGCAACCCTTTTCCTTGTCTGGCCCCTTCGTGTGTGTGTTTTTTCGTTCGTTTTGTAGACATTTTTCGTATGACAACGACAAATATTTGCCGGATAATATGAATAACAAAGCAGAAGAAGGCTGTGAAGGCGAGAGAAGAGGCCACATCAGAGAGTGCAAGAAAGGGGGAGAGGTAGTGAGGTAGGCATGGCTTGCTTAGTGGGTGGTTGGGCCGTTCAGTGGGTGGTTGAGGGCCAAACACAGGGTGGTTAGCCAGCCAACCTACTTAAGCCGCAGCTAGACCCCCAGACTCTGTTGCCCAGTCTCTTCTTTTGATCTTGCACTAAGAAAAAATAGGATAGAAATTGTCAAAAAAGGAGTTTTGAAAAAGATTTTGTATGAGTTTTTGATCACCATTTATAATAATATATTTTAAAACTCATTCGAAATATGTAACGGCTTCGTGCGAAAACAGTCCTGATAAAAGCAGAAAGCAGTGGAGTTTTGTAATCTCTTATAAAGCTGCCTAAAAGTATGCAACTCACAATAAAAATATAATTTATATAGAAAATCAAGACAATAGCTATGGTTGGTTTCATTCCCTTTCAAATTTTTAGAGATTCAAAAATTATAATAATATTTATTATCTACAAACAAAGTTCTTTTTATGACTTTAACTTCATAATATATTCTTCTTTTCCCTCAGTGCATTCCTGTCCGGGGCCAGACGGCTACAACTTAAACTAAAAGGCTGCACCACGTTGTTGCTGTCGCCGATGTTGCCGCTGCAGTGTTGTTGTCGCCGGTGTCTGAGACGCAGACAACTTCAAAATGGAGCGGATCTGGAGCCGGAGAATAGCTCCGGTGGCCCTAGTCGTCGACGTCGTCGTCGGCTGGCTGGTTGGCTGGCTGGACTGGCTGACTGACACAAAAGTGCTTTTGTTGCAAAGTTTAATGAAGAAGAACACGATGATGAGGATGAGGGGGTGGGATTGGTTGCTGGAACAGATTTGCCAGGACAAATGAGACATGCAAAGCTTGGGTGAAAGTAATACATAGAAAGAGAATAATTAATGCTGTTGAACAGAATGGAACACTATAAAAAGCTATATGACTTGCAGACCTCGACTCCTTAAAAAAAATGTTTATAGAACAAAAAAAGGTCATAACGGGATTAAAGCTCAGTTTAAAAACTAAGAATGAAGTAAAATTGGATAGGAAGTGCTTAGAACGGATTGTATTTCCTTTAACTCCTTAACTTGAACGCACAAAAACATAAATTGGGCTTAAAGTAGATTAATTTAAAATAAGTTAAAAAATCATTTGATATTTTGGTATTTCATGTTTATCCTTAAAGCTTTGGAAAGCGAATTTAGTTAAAGTTTTAGACTATATCGTTCATCTCATTATATAAGATGAGGTTGGTACTTTGTAACTTTGAATAGTAGTTATATGGATTTCCTTTACCACGATCACATATTCCGGTAGCTTAAGAACTTTTCAATATCAATTAATTATATAGAGTTCTTATAGTAAGAGCAATCTTGCTGCTTTTTCACCAATAATAATATTATTTAATATAAAGTAAGTAATAGCCTTTTCTATGTAAATTGTCAACAAAAGTCCATTCCCAATGTCCCAGAAACTCTTTGAACTTAAAAAACGAACTTTCCGAAACTTTACCATCTTCATTACGATTTCCCAAACTAAAATAATTTTCAGAAAGTACTTTAAACTCCCCTGGTATACATTTCTTTTTGGGATCCTTAAAATGCAATAAACTAAAACCCATTCAAATCGCCTAGTTAGTCGCCATTTGCTGTGACACTAAGCTGACTGATGCGACGCCACAATGCCACAAAAGGCATTGGCCTCCAGTCAATAAGCCCATAACTCCGATCTTTTCTGGACACAAAAATTGCCCACTGTCTGGGCAGCAGGAACTAAAAACAAAAACGAAAACAACAAAAAACTTTAAAGGGTGAAAAAATAAAAACCAAAATCGAAAAAAAAAAATAAAAAACGAAGTGCAATGCAGCGACTACGAAAAAATTGCATGCTGAGCTTTGCTGTTGCTTCGTTTGGTGTTGTTGTTGTAGTTGCTGCTGCTGCTGCTGCTGTTGCTCCTGCTGTTGCTGTCGTAGCTGCTGCCGCTGCTTTTGCTGCTCTTACCTCTCCTGGCGATGCACTTCAGACGACGACGACGACTACGACGCTTTGTTGCAGCCCAATACAATCGACACACAGACAGGGGCGGTGTGAGGGGGATTGCGTTGCAAAAAAAAAAAAATGCAAGGGAAGGGAGTAGCAGAGAGTGGCGACGACAACAGACGGGGTCGCGAAGGGTTTTTCCAAAGGTGGGGTGCGGAGAAGGGCGGAGTTGGCAGCGGGACAAGAGGGGGGACAACTGCAGACCGTGGCAGACAAAACAATATGTTTGTTTGGATTATATCCTACATACACACATGCACCAAGCACACACACACACATATGCATAGTTGCAGCGATGCGACGAGGCTTCTTTGTATGCGCAAACAATTGGAGCAGGCGGAAGTTGCATGGCGGCGACGACGCTTGCCGTTCGTCGGTCGTCTGTTGTCCGGACAACCAGTGAGAGTGAGCGGTAGAGCAGGGCCAGAAAGAGATAGGGAATATAGAGGGAAAGAGAATGGACGAGTCACGACCGAACACCCCATGGTGCACCTTGAAAATGCGTTTTTTCTTCTTTTTTTTTAACTTTGCACGCTTGCAGCTTCACTTGGCCCTACGCCTTGATTAACTGTCAGTGACTGAAAAGTGATTTAATCAAGGCAATGTCCAATCAAACACACAGGAAAACAATAATGGGGAAGAGAAAACCTGAAAGTTAAGATGATTTGGAGGACTAGAAGGATACCCAAGGTACAAGGTATTAAGATACTAACTCACGCTAAGCTAATACTAATTTAAAAACATTTAAAATTTAAATTTTTAGACTTTCTTTTGGATGCTTATGCTTATGCTTATGTCGTGTCACATTTATTTTGTAATAACTTTATTATTATCAAAAATATATAAAAAAAAAATTAATTATTATTTTTCCTCGATAAGATTTGATATTCAAAGGAAATATACCCTTTCATTTTTAATGGGTAAAGGAAACCCAAAAGGCAGCAATAGCAGCAGCAACATGTGCTCCATCTGGGGCAGGGACGAAGACCTCGATTCGGATTGCGACTGAGACTCGGACTATGAATCTTACCCACAGCAGACAGACATGGACACGAACTCAGTACAGATCGCAGCTTTAACCAAGCTCAAGTCCAAGTCCAAGCTAAAGCCCAACCCAAAGTCCATGGGCCATTCCCCGGCAGCCAGACCACATCAATCAACTGCTGCCCGTCGTTTGCTGCTCCCTCAAGTGAGCATCCTTCAAGACGCAGCAGCTCTTAGCTGAAATCCACTTGCATCTCCGCTGATGTTGCAACGTAAGTTGTTGCTGCTGCGTCAACGTCGCCCATATTTGACATGGCCATAATTACAGTCAGTCGTCGTCGGCTGGACTCGCGACGTCGTCGTCTTGGTCTTGCAGCTGGACATGGACTTGGGATTGGTCTTGGGATCGGGTCTGTTGCTGGGGACTGGAATTGGGGACTTGCAGCTTGTTTTGAGCGCGCTTTTTTTCAACGTATTTGTTGTCGTTCCATCCTCTCAGCGAATGTAAAAAAATGATGCATAGTGGGATGAAAATGGTTGAAAATGTAAAACTTACTGTTTGGATTAACTTGAAATATTTTAAAGTTTCTTTAAATTCCTTACAATTTTAATGTATTGTATATATACTTAAGAAAAGTTATAAAAAAGTTTGCTTAATTTCTGAAAACTTGTTTTTATTAAT